AAAAACTCTAAGCTTCAAGCTGTAAGGACAAAAAGTGCTTGTCTTATCATATAAGAATTAAATAGAAAGCATGTATAGGAATTAAATGATCGAATCAATTTTTCTTCAAAAGATTTTCTTTATTTTTTTATTTAAAAAATTTTTTTTGAAATAAATCTGATAAATTTTTAATAATTTAAAAAATAGTTGCCATCTTTAAAATTTTATCTTCTTTTTTTTAAAATATTTCTTTAAATGGATATAATCTATAAAATATAAAATCTTTAAAAATAAATAGCATAAATAACATAATAATGAAACATAAAATTTCTAAGGGAACTAATTTAAAAAATTCATTTTTCGCAGCTGTAAAAAATTAATTAGGTGTAAAAAGTTTGATAGTTTGATAGTATATTGCGTTTGATAGTAAGCATTGATATAGTTTGATAGAAAGCATTCATATAGGAAATGCTGTTACAGAAAATTTCAAGCCAACATAACATATTTATAAGATTAAGCTGAAAATATCACGAAATAATTTTTGGTCAGCCTTGTCCCAATATCTTCAATTTAGAACATAATTATTGAAGGACTTAACGAGAAAATTGGCTGGTCCCCACTGCATGTTGTGAATCTTCTTATTATTAATTTCACTGAGAATCTTTGCCGATATCGATTTAGATGCTTATAAAATTTGAGGCAATAAGGGGAATAAAAAGACACTTTTTAGAAATGGTGAAGCAGAAAAGGGAAAAAGCAAAGATTTTTTAAATATTGCCTGAAGGCTGCCTGCAAAGATATATAAACAGAGTTATTATGCATAAGCCATCTTACAAGAACTAAAGCGGACTGTTGGAATGCTGGGATTTTCGATAATTGGGTGGTGATCAGTGAGAAATAGAGTGTTGAAATGCTGAACGATTTGATGCTTGATAATAGGCTGCTAAATGATGACTAGGAAATAAGACGTTAAGAGGCGATGAAAGGAATGTGAAGGCTTGCGGTTAGCGGAAGGCTTTTGGGAAATAATGAACTGAGAGTCGGGGAAGGGCGTTTGGGCAGGAAGAAATGATAGGAAGAGTGATACTAATTTTAAAAAAATGAAGGAGTGATGAGGGTGCTGGGATTTTAAAATAACTTTTATTTTGTTTATATGGATATTGCAAGGTATAATTGACGGAGATACAATGCACGCACGAAATAGAAGTTGCAGCACAACGTCAACAAGGATTTTACCGAAAAGCGGCATTCCCTTGTCGAAGAATTTGCTAAATCGTGCTAAGTCTAACGATTGTGTATTAAGGCCTGCAGAGATCCCAGGTGACAGCTTATCTTCTAATTTTAAAGGTAAATCGCTTCTCAATGTAATCAGAAATATTATAGTGATAATGGGATTGTTTAAAAAAAAATTTATGGTTATTCTCGACGATTATTTGTGTTTGAATTCTACCGTCATTGAATAATCCTCTTTATTTTTGTTTAATTTTGCTTTTTTTATTTTGTTTATTCTTTGTTTAATATCAAATTAAACGATGAAAAAATTTTAAGAATCAATAAATTTCAAAAAATTAAAAATTTAACTATTTAATTAAAAATTTAATTAAAAATTTAACAAAATTTTGAAAATTTATTCTCAAAATTAGATATAGTAGGAGCGGAAACTGCTTCAGGCGGCTGTTTATCCAAGAAATTTATAGAAGCAATGAAGAACTTTCACCATATAAATTTTTTCCAAATATTATGCAATTTCTATCTGATGCTTCTTTTAGGATTGCATTTTAAAGATAAAGCGCAATATTGGAATTTAAACCAAAAATCCATAAGATAATACAAGTGGAAATACGATATTGTTTGATAGTTTTTCTTATTTTTCTTCTTTCTCTTCTAAGCACCCACCATTGCTGAATTGGCTCTATTCGCGAATTGGGCAGAATGTCTCTCGATCCGATGTGCCATACCTGAGAGTGACTGAGCCACTCTATTTTTTGCTGCTTTATATTGCTCGATCGTTTTTGCATGCAGAACCTCATCTGCAGCATCAATACAAGTCTTAACTGGTTCTCGCCAGTTTTTTTTTCTATCATAGCGCTCCATATTAAGCGAAATTGGTGCCAAATTGTGTGGTAGCATGTGGAGAATATGGCCTAAACAGCTCAGGTGATGACGGATATTTTGTGGCAATCCAAGATATTTAAATATTATGAATGCCAACATATTCAAACGAAGTTGAATGCGATCATATAAGGCTCCCTCTATTTGCTAGTAGGCACTTAAGATATACAAGAGTGGTTAGATAACTTTCTGATATCTTCTATTCTCGTTAACTACAGCCTAGTTGCAAGACTGACACAAGACTTGCATTACAATCAGATAGAATTTATTTTGAAACTGATTCGAAAATTTTCCAAAAAAAAATCTTTGCCTGGAAGAAATCACCTCTAGCAGCATTGGTCCAGGCTGAGGTTTTGTTTAACTATTACATATAGGAGGGATTAATTTATTAAAATTATATTGATTAGCTTCTGATAAGGAAACGAAAAGGTTTTCATCTCATTTACATTTATTTTCTGGCCAATTTTTGCTGATATTATCAATACTCGATCTAATTAATCTTTGTTGCTGCCCTCTTAATTGTCAGCGAAAAGTACTAGAATTATCAAGATATTCAAGGCAAGTGACATTATATTCTAGACTAATCTGTAAATCTCCTGAGTGTTGACAAGTAGTGCCCATAAGTGCCTATTCTATCACATAATTCGAAACAATAGGAAAGAGAATGCACATCTATTCGTACTTCGAAACTTTCTATATAAACACCCTTGTTATTGTACGCCAATACAATGCTTGAATAAGTCTGATTATCTTCTCTGGAACACCACCGTGACACTTGACTTGCCGCCCTATATTCGAATCAAAAGCGATGGCAATGGTCGATTAAGAAAGTAGCGGTATATTCTCAATGCTTGAAACGATGACTGTTACCAGTAGCGATTTTTGTATTTCCCTTCACCTCGAGTTTAAGGAACTGCCGATGGCTAATTGCCAATGAAAGAGCGCTTCTGCTTCGCGACAGTTTGACGGATTTGCCTGAGCCTCATGGCCTTCCAAGTCGTATATCCTTTAACCAACTTCTTGATGCAGGAATTAAATGGAATTTCAAAGGGAATTATTAATTATCGATCGTTCTAAATGCACCACTGATGTGAAAATCCTTTAGGTGCTTCAAGACCTCAGTAGCTTTGAAATGTGCTAACTGTCCCTGAATCCTTAAAGTAATAAAAAGGTTTTGAGGGAAGGGAAAGCTTTGTTATGTACTGTTTATATTGTTTCATTTGAATCAAGGTTTTAACTATAATATGGTCCAACGTGGAGATCGACTTTGCACATAGATGGGCACTCAAATACAGAGATTTTCATCAATGATTGACCAAAATATAATTAGTCTATTCCTGATGCTGATTAACTGCGAAATTGCGTTCAACTATATGTCTTCTGTAGTACTGAAAGCATTTAACTGTGGAATCCATGGCCTCAACAAAGCTAAGAAGATACTAGTGGCACACCATGTCCTAACGCATTACTTGTTAGCTGTAGAAGATATGGAAGATAATTGGACAGCATCATGGCTCACGCGCGCATTCCATTCTGCATGACTTTTATTGTATCGTTCATTTGATAGAGATTCTGTTCTATGAGAGAGTTAAATTCTGCGTCAGATCTATTATCATCAATGCACTGATACTGATGATAGTCTAAAATTTAGAGGTCCAATTGATTAGTTTTCTGAACGCATAGACCATATACAGTGACATGGGCATAATTTCTGCAAAAAGGAGTTACTTTGCTTTAGCAAATTTTAGGCATAGCATCGGATCTGAATGCTCAAAGGCGCTTTGTCTCTTGTAGCGAAGTTAGCTAGTAATGGTACTAGTTATTAGAAGAAAAAGAAGGAAAAATAGTAGAGTGCTCCACAATCTTCAAAAGGTTTTTTTTATTCGGATATTCTCCATGTTAACTGATTTTTGATGGATTTCAGGTATAAGAGAAACTCTGTCTAACACAAACAACCATGAAACCTACCAAGCCAAGAAATCAAATGCTGTTTCTGGCTTAATTCGAGCACAAAAGAATGTTCATTGTTTGCAAGCTTTAAAGAATACCACGAATTCTTATCTCACCCCTGCGCCCAGCATTTCAAAACCTACATCAAGCACACCAATTTTTCCAGTATCTTTGTCAAAATTCAAAAGTTCAAATAGTTCGGCTTTTGCATCAAGTTCTAAGAAAGAACAGGAATTTCGGAAATTACTATCAAGTGAAACTTCGTTATTTGAAAAAGTGTGCAGTTTTTTTATAGAATTATGTTGATCAAAACTAAGCTGGCCAAATTATTTCTATCTTCTTCTTCTAATAGCTCTCATCACTGGTTAGGCTGGCTCCACTGGCAACAACGATAGGAGTTTCCAAACTCTTCAACCTGCTGCCATCGCTGATAGTAATAGAAGCCATTGCTGTTTTCACCGTTTAAGTCCAAATATCGCTCGTCCTCTTACGTTCTTTCTTGACTGCATCAGTCCAGGTCTTGATTGGACCATCTCGCTTTTGATGTTATCCATCATTAAGTTTAGCAAAAGTTAGTTTAGTTTAGTTTAACAGCGAAATATCTGTCAACTTACGTGGTGGACGACGAAGAAAGTACCCGTGAAGACGAGGTTTTGTGACAGTACTGTTGATGCAAGTAGTATTTGAGCGATGCTGGATGCATTCATGTGAGATTTTATCCGTTGGGCAGTCCCTTAAAAATGATAAGATATACCAAAGGATGATAATTATTTCTATCAGAATATATTCTTAGCTAAAATCATTCGAAGCTTTAATTATTTAATTATCTTTATAATCTTTAATTTAATTGTCAATTTAATTATCAATAGAGTGAAAAAAAGAAAATAGAGCTCTGCGAAGAAATCATAAAGGCAAAAGACAGAAAAGAACAACTTTCAAACATAATAGCAAGCGAAAAAATGAAAATAACCAAATTGACCGACGAATTAACGAAATTGCAATGTATTTGTCAAGTTAACGATGCTCAAATCGTCGAACTGCATAATAAAATTGTTGATCTAAAGGTTTGAAATTATAGTACTATCACCATATTTATTATTTACCAATTTTACAAATTTTATAGTTCTGAAATTTTCTATGCTTCATTATATTTTCTCGAGGGGTGGTTGCATTGAATAGGAACAATTATTTATAAAAATATTTCTACGATCCTCTTATGTTTTTCTTACTCGTGAGAGGAGAGAATAAACTTACTATTGAAAAATTCAAGTGGTGTTGATGGCCCACCTATATTTTTGTTTCTAAATGACGCTCCAGTAAAATTATCTCTTCCAACTAAAATAGCCTGCAAACCATTTATTTTTTCCGTGATAAAACTGTTATGGTCCATAAAATATACTAAAGTAACTATTAAATTTTATAATGCTCCTGTAAAATAAAAAAATTGTCCAATCTTGTTGCAGGGCAAAATAAGAATTTGTGTGAGGGTGCGACCACTGTTAAGTGAAGAAATCAGTGCAGGAGAAACGTCAGAGCATATTAACATTGCTAATGATAAGACTATTAAGATAAATCATGTAAGACTCAGTTATATGAAGATGCACCACCAACCATGCAGTCTTGTAAATGGAAATGTAAAATATTAAATTTACCATAATTTTACTAAATTTCAGCACGGACAGGTTTCAAGTTTTGAATTTCAACGAATCTGGTCTCAGAATGATACGCAACAGACGATTTTTAATGATGTGAAAGAGTTGATTGAAGTGAGCTCTCCAAATTTTTATTTCATATTGGAATTGATACTATTTCATGCTAGCAATCTAAATGGCATTTGGAGAGAAACATTTTTAGAGAAAATCAGGGAATTCCATGCCTCACTTTTTTTGCTCATGAGCATAAATCTTAAATATTCTTTAAAATATACCTAATATATTAGGTGATATTGAATGATGAAATAATATAAAATCGTTCACTATTATTTCTATTATCATTACTATTATTACCACATTTAGAGTTCTCTTCATGGATTCAATGTTGCTATAATGGCGTATGGGCAAACGGGTTCAGGTAAAACATATGTTATGGAAGGTGATGTTGGTGGCTGCGAAGGTATCTTACCCCGGGCGCTGAAATTTATTTTTGATCGTAGAAGTCAACTTATTCTTCGTAATTGGGAGGTCAGCTTTATATGACTTTATGCTTCTAATTTGCTGTGATAAAGTGGTCTAGATTTTCGTGATGATTTCATTTAGATTTCATATCCTTCCTACGAACGAACAATTTAGCTTTGGTTTTTTGGTTCTTTGGGTTTTTTAACCGTTTGCCAAAACTTTTAAATGCTGAATATTTGCTTCTATGTCTGCGACTATTCTGAAAAGGAAATTATTTCCTCTATGGTTCATAAGATTGTAAATTTCCAGGAAAATTATGTTCATTTCATTCTTTTATAGGTAGAAATAGAATGTGCGCGCTATGAATTCTACAATAATAAGTGCTACGATTTATTGGCACATGGAGGTCCAAGAATGGCTGAAGTTCACTTTGCAAATGGCCGATCTGAAATTCATCAGCTTTCGCGTCATACAATTTTAAACATAGAGCAGGTAAGGTGTTCTCAATAATTATTGTAAAATTCAATAATTTGTCACAGCGGCACATTTAACCTGTTTCAAATTTATTATTAAGGAAAAGAATAGCGCTTTTCAAGCATATAATAATTATAAATTATTAAGGGACTAGAACTTTTATCGAAATCCCGACTTCTAAGAACAACAGCAACCACGTTGTGTAGCCCACAATCATCCAGAAGTCATTCAATTTTCGAATTTACAATTAAAGTTAAAAATTCTTGTTAGTCAAATCTTGGATCTTTTACCTATTTTGGATATTTTATTTATTTCATATTTCAAAATAAGAAAGATAGCTTCGAAATATGCATTTTTTCATTTATAAGCGATTAAAATATTGCGATTTAAGCATCTGACTATGAATCGTTTTTGTCGTTGGTGGACTTAGCAGGTTCCGAAAGAATAAATGAGTCTGGAGCTTCTGGTGCACAAATTACTGAAGCCATTTCGATTAATCGTTCTCTAAGTGATCTCAGGAATGTCATACGAGCAAAGATGGAAAATGTTTGTTTATATAACTTCTCTTATAACTAAAAATTCAAATTAACTGAAAGAATGTAATTCTTGTACTCAGGTGGTTGATCATATCATTCTTTTATGGTAAATACGAGGTTAGATCATTCTTCTTTCGCTTTTAGTTTTCCCATGTGCCGTATCGAAACAATAAATTAACGATAGCACTAGCTAAAACACTAGGATGTTCAAGTTCGAAGACTTTACTTATAATTGCATTACGACCAACTCTTTCTGCAGCTTTAGAAACTAGGCGATCACTAGAATTCGCAAATGTGGTGAGTTTTTCGTTTTCCCTAATACGAAGAAATATCCCGCATTTTTCATCGTACTTTATATTTAAGCCTGATAGATATGCCTATTCAGTCTATCACACATATAGAATGAAAACTGTAAAAATGAATTTAATTTATGTATTTTGTTGGATTGTATCGGCAAAACTATGCAAAAATTGTCGTTGAAATTATTGCTGCTAAGGTATAAAGACGAATTGCAGGCAAATTCAACAAAAATAGGAGCAGCTGTGAAACAACAAACAACAAAATAAGCAGTAATATCGACCAAAATGCGAGCTAAGGCCATTACCTAAGGCAATAATAAATTTTTAAATTTGCACTTTTTTCAACACATTCGCAAAAATTTGCTATTTATGTGGTATACGCTCGTTAATTTCTTAAATTATTTCTAATCTCCTCGAATTTTAATTTGAGTTTTTTATATCGATTCGAAAAGGATTCAAAAAAAAACATTCCAAACAAACGGCAGTCCTTTATTTCTTTTTGGTTCTTAATTTTACTGCAACGATTCCTTTAAGTGAGTAGTTATTTTTGCTTTTTTATCATTAAGGTCCTACATTCCTTTCTAAGATTTTTAGATTTTTGCTAAGGTGAATAATGGCTTTTAAAGATAAAAATGTTGGATTTTGTCGTATTTTCAGAATTTCATGTTTATATGCAGTAAGCTAAAGGAATAAGGAATGGCTAATCCATCCACTTTTATGACTTTTAAAATCTCTTGAATATTTTTAATCATACGATTTAACTATTTACACTCGTTTTTTCTTGCTAACTTTTTGTATTTTAAGAGAAATAAATGAAGCGAATTTCTATACTCTAATTGTTAGTATAAAATTTGAATCCAGTTGATCCTGAAATTTTTTGTCTAATAAATTAAAAACTTTGAATACTTTTGATTGCTCAGTTTTACACAGAATTGAAGATAATAATGCATAATTTGCCGTTGCCTGTCAAAAAAAACAAACAAAGTGGCTATTGCTTGATTTGAATTAAATTGACTTTATTTAATGAGAATTTCGAATTTAGAAGTGGAAATTATAGGAAGCACCATAAATATTGCGTATAATGACAGATAGCTTTTTTTTTCTAAATTCCTGAGTAATTGCAATTCACTTAAGTTCGCAATTCACTACCCCATTATTATGTTTTTGCATTATAGAAACCTTTTTAGAAAACTTAAGTTCCACAAAAGTTCCAGTAAAGGAAGTGATCCAAAAAATTAACAAGCATCGTTAATCTCTTTTTAAATTTTAAATTGAATCATTTTTCCTTTATTTTACTTTATCCTTAATTTGAATATTTTTTGCTAACAATCTCAATTAACAAGCAAAATTTAAATACTTTAATTCTTTGTTTTTCTTATAATTAGCGTCGCACTTCTATCATTTTAGATCTTAATTAACTACTTGAAATATAAAATCTAATCGTGAGTTGCTTATTACTGTTCTATAAAACGAACAATCTGAAATAGTATTCATGATCACTGCATGTTGTGTGCACAACTATCGAATCGTGCAGTAGGTAATGCTGTAGTGAGCAATTTGCGATTTAGTTAATTGCTGCAGTCGTATTATCATTTATAATTATATATTTTACGTAGCTTACTTGATCGCAACGCAAACATAACAGATTAACTTAAAATTAAAATGCAGAATAGTAATATCCGTTAAATTGCCAGGAAAAATATTAAAATAAATTTTTACCTTGACAAAATATGTTTGTCATTTGACCAATTTTTGATTGCCCATTTAAACAAAAATGCTCGCTTTTTGTCGTTTCGAAATGCCTGAAAGAATGATGCGTAGAATTTTTGCAGTTATCATCCATTTAATTTCAAATCATCTTTCGATTTCGAATTTTCTAAGTCATGGCTCCAATTGATTTACAAGCTTCTGTATTTTGTATTCTTAATCAATCAAGCTAATTCAATCATCCCATAGTGAAATCGTGTTTGCTTTGGTACATATTCATTCTGATCATACCATAATATGCATATCTTCTTCTTCTAACAGCTCACACCAATACTGGTTAGGCTGACTGCAATGGCTACGAGGGTAAGAAGCTTCCAAGCAGCGCGGTCTGATGCTATCGTAAATAGTAATAGAAGCCATTCCTTTTTCCATCGTCTAAGTCCATATATTGCTGGTCCACCTATACGTTCAAAATCTTTTCTAACCTTATCAGTCCAGATCTTGATTGGCTCTATCGCTTTTGATGCCACCCATTTACGGTTTAGCAAGTAACGAAATATGCGTCAATTCCTATGGTGGTCGACGGAGAACATACCCTAACCAGCGAAGGCGACGCTCTGTGATAATATTATTTATGCAAGTGGTATTTGAGCGAAAGTGGATGCGATCATGTAATATCTTATCAGCTTGGTGCGGACTTTCGTTTTTATCGTGATTTCATTTATGGTGACGACTCCATAAATATTTCGTCAACTGGAAGAATGCATTTCTAGCTGCCGTGATCCGAGTTGTAATATCATCTTTTGCCTGTCCATTTGGTATTAGAGTGGACCCAAGGTATTTAAAATCGGGCACTTCCTCAACCGGCAATAAATTTACAAAAAGAGGCATTTTATCAGCTTCTTGCACATAAAACGAAAAGACTTTCGTTTTATTTACATTGATCCTGAGTCCGATTCTTGCTGCAGTTGCTGATTATTTCTCGCTGACTTATTTAGCATTATTTGCTTTTCATCATAACTGTAAGCAAAAAGGACTAGCGTATTTGTGATACGATGCTCTGGTCTAATTTGGATATCTCTTGACAAGCTGTAGCCCATTGTCCATTATCCACTCTATCGCATAGTTGAATATTGTGGGGGAAAGAACGCAGCCCTGATGGACACTAATTCTTATTTCGATAGAGTCTGTCAGCTCCCCATATACACAGATCTGCACCGACGTGTGCTCATAAAATGCCTTTGTGAGTCGAATGATTTTTTCTGGAACACCGTCGCTCTCCATCGCCCTCCAAAGCGCCGCTCTATCAAAATTGAATCAAAGAGCGCAAAGTCGATGAAACACGTGACAATGAAATATTTGAAACCATGTTCTAACATCCTTCTTAACGTGAATATCTGGTCAGCAAAACAAAAGGCGCGGCCTGGCCTGAAACCAACTTGATTAGGGCGCATCCTGCTGTCCCCTACTTCCACAAGTCTGTTAAGTAGCAGGGAAGCAAATATGCATATCAGTAAAACACTATAAGATCAATAGAATTTTGCCATTCATTGGGATCTTTTACGGGCAACAGCCATCACTGACTGCTAAATCGAGATCCTAAATCGAGTTATAATAATTGCCAAATTTTCCTCTACGGAACCTCTGAGATTCAAGGCAAATCTCAGAGAATGAAAACCTAATTCAAATAATAAACAATATTTTAGTTGAATAAGAAATCAGGGCGCATCATTTTTAATCATTTTCAATCACTTTTAATGATTTTTTTTTGCAGTTTATTCATTTGAAACTTTTAGATTTAAAAGTTTTAATAAATATTGCACCGGGGACTCCATGGATTTCTACGGTATCAACCAACAAGTCCGCAGAAGAACAACAACGACCATTATGCAAGAGGAATTCATTTTTAATGGATTTTGTGCCCGTTAAGTGATTTCCACTAGATTTAATCTCACTGAAGAAACTCGACATTAGTGCTTGGTGAAATATTTCTTTTTTATAAGAGCTTATAAAAAAAATTTTAAAAAAGTGTAAATTTTTATAAATTGATAAATTTTTATACTAATCTTAAATAAATCATTATTCGCAAATGAGAATGCTATATAGTTCAATTTTGGTTAAATTTATCATTTTTTTAATCAGAAGAGTACTCAGTGAAATTTTAGTTCGCATGCAAATTCTTTTTTCTTAGTCTTTAAAATTACTGATGGATATACTGATACAGTCAAATTCATCTTTTAACTGATTAACTGACAACACTGCCTTATTCACATTTTTTAAGTCTTTTTTCTTTAATGAACCTTCGTTCCTAGCAATTTTTTTTAAAACGCAATAAAATCAACATTTTTCATTATGTTCCACTTAAATTATATCCATCACCATATCTTAGAATTTTAAAAAACATGAAACAGCTAGATTTTTTTAATATATTTAATTGGAGGCTTTTTTTATACGAAAAAAATAAATTTAATTAAACTTAAGTATGAAAAAGATGCTTTTTCACAGAATCAACGGCCGAAAGTGAACAGCTGGGGCAACAACAGCAATGCTTGTGCACTACAAATCAGTTAGTGGCACGTGAATCTCGTATTGAGCCTTTTCATCTAAAAATACATTCTCGCTGGACAACAAAGATAAATACTAAGTTTTGATGGAGCCTAATATATACAATTTGCATTCCATTATTTTGTTCATTCCATTAGTTTTTCTTATTCCCATTTGTTGATACGGGATGATTTCAGCGCTACACTTATTCATCATTTTTCATATCCAAATTTATTTAAGTAGTTGAAGTAGTTTATTTATTTGCCGATAAAATGCATGTCGATATACTGCATCGCTCCGTAATGTAAAGTATTTTCGTTATTTTAGTATTTTCAACATGTGTTAATGTTGTTTTCAATTGCTGAAGCTGGTTTAAACGAATTCGCCTAACAAAGGTCGTATCAGTGAGTTTAGACCCGTAAAGGCTCGTAAATTAACCATTCTCGATTCTCGATCATATGATAGCTTCTAGACAAAAATTCCAAGGTAAGGACGGAAAAAATTTTCTTGGAGATATTTGCCACAAAAGAAAATTTCAAGCTCTCCCCGTTGTTATTTGATTTAAATTTATCTATGCTTTTATAATCAGTGACATCACTGGATTTTTGGTTTTAATTAATTTTCTGTACGCCAAGATTTTGACGACAGGTTCAATGCCGTATAAAATTTCCCTAAGCCCTATATAATGGTAAATAAATTAATTAACAATGCGAAATGATCAGAAATGACATCTACAGTTTGCTAGTAGTGACTTGCTGTCTGACTGTCTCCAAATTCGACATAATTTTAAAATTTTGTAAAGAATTTTAGCACCATTTTTGGAGATTTCCGTATATATACAGCGTTGAAGGAAATTTTCATATAATATCAAATTTGATATGAAATTCCGCAATTTCCAAAACGATAAAATTTTCCTATTCATTTTTATGAATTCATATTTGCCCAGCGAAATGCTACATAATTTGTCGCATCTGAATGGAGAAAGCTAAAGGGGATTTATTGGGAATCCTCTATAA